CGCCGACGCCTTCCCACCTTAGGGTCCTGCCTGTCCTGCCTCCAGACACCTCAATAGTTGGAGCTGGTCTCCGACAAGAGGCCTCAGGTGACTGGCTGCCTGAGAGCCAAGTTACCTGTGAGCACCTTAAGGTGCTCCTCCCCCTGCTCAGCCTAGGCACCCCCATGCGCCCTCCCACCCCGAGCCTCCACCTGCACTCACACCCAAGGGAGGCCCCATGCTGCATCCAGTCCTCTGGCCCCTCCAACCTACATGCACACACTGCACTGTGTTCCAGAGCGCAAAACTGCCTGCCACCCCCGGCTTCCAGTACTTCAGAGGCTGTCAGCCCTTGGGATCAAGTCCAGACTCCTTGGTAGACAACACGGGTTGTTTTTGGACTGGCTGGGCATACCTCCTCAGCCTCCCCCCAAACACTAGCCTCCCTCCATGTCCCACACCCCACATTCTGGCTCCCCCAATCATGGATTGTTCCCCACTTACTACTTTCCATTCCACGCTGCTTCCTTTATCGAGAACATTCTTTTCCTCCCTCTTCCACAACTCAGTCTTCAAGTTGGTCTAACCATCACCTCCTCATGAAGGGGAGGCCTCCCTGGTCCACTCGGATGCCGCTCAGGGGCTTCATCCTGATTCTAGCATTATCCTATCCCACGATCTGACCTCCACAAACTGACCGCCGGGGCAACCCTGACTCACTCTGGGTCCCTGGTGTCTAGCGCTGCTAGGAGCAAGCACGTGGATCCGACAGCCCCGAGTCTTCCTGATAGTGACGGGGCAGGGGGCTGAGCGCTGGGCTGGGCTTGACGCCAGCTTGCTCCAAGGCAGCCACGCACACGCGAGGGAGGTATTACCTCCCTGCCATGCAGGCGCTCTGGAGTTGCGAGGGGAAACCTGACAGGTGGCTCCAGACGACTCCTCTTACTCTGACTCAGTCTGCTATAGTGGGACCAAGGGCTCGGGCACTGCCAGGCTGGCACCCACCTTGATGCAGCACTGGAACTCCTCCTGGGCATCAGTGAACACCTCCACGTCCAGGAAGAGCCGGAGTCGGTGGTCCACAGAGCGGAAGTCACAGTGTGCTGGGGCTGGGGGGCGGGTGAAGCAGTCAGCCTGTCCCAGCCCCCCCCCACCAGTGCCCCTTCCCTCCACACAATGCCACCCCATCTCAGTCCACCTGTACTCACAGGGGCTGAGGTTCCAACTTTGGTAGTCGTGGGATGCAGGGGCCTGAGATGGCGCACTGGCATTCCCGCTGCTGGGGTCACCGTGGCCAGGAGGGTCATGGCCAGAGATGGGGGGCTGGGAGGGAGCCAGGGCATGCTCCTGCTGCCGCTGGTCCCCCTCAGTGGGTGCCCCAGACAGTGCCAGGAGAACCACGTGATCGCTCCCACAGTTTGGACACACGGCAGCAGAATCTGGAAGGAGGCATAGGTGGTCCCTACCTACGAACCTTCCAAGCACCCCAAACCCACATGCTCATAATGTCCCCCCTTGTGCTCAGATTCGCCTGGGCCTGCAGCTCTAGCTTCATCCCCTGCCACCCTCCCAACCCAGTGGCCTCCCATTCCAGGGAGGGCTGAGCCAAACAAGCCCATGACCTCCTCAAAACGCACGCCCTTCTAACTTCAGGCCTTCTCAGAGGGCCAAACTCAACGCAGCCCACTCCAGTCTCCACCCAGAGCTGGGGTGGCCTCGGACTCGAGTGCTCGGGACCCGCCTGTGGGAAAGCCTCAAACCCAGAGACTGGGGCAGGGCAGACCGCAACAGACAGGGGCCCGCCACTGTCCACATCACTTAAAGGCTGTGACGGAAGCGATGACAAGGCCCCCCCAGGAGCTCTGTGCCTGGTGCCTCATCTGTAAAACAGGGGTGATGACAGTGTCGATCTTCTAGGCTGTCACCCTGAGTGGAGTCAGGGCAAGAAGCCCAGACAGGGATCAGCAGCAAGGGAAGAAACGTTCTGCTTCCACAATGTGCTGGGCGCGTGCTGGACCCTTTGATAGTGCTAACAACATCTCCCTGGCCGGTTTTGCAAATGAGCTCCCAGAGTCGGGCAGCTGGACAGGGGTAGCAGCCACGATGGACACACACCCTTGCGCTAGGCACCAGGCTGAGTGGCTTTTTGCCGTATTTAAATCTCCTAACAGCACCGGGAGGTGAGGCCATTCTCTTCTGAGCTCAGAGGAGGTAATGGAGACGCCAGTGAGGAACACGTAACACACGGGGGTGTCCAGTCATGACACCGCCACGAAAGGGACCCCTGGGCCACAGGACCCCACGGGCCCGGTACAGTCCAGATGGGGGGCACAGTTTCCACAGCTTCAGCTGTGCTGCTGGGTCCCCAGAGCCCCCTGCGCAGGTACGGGGAGGGGGATGAGGGAGAAGGCTGACACAGCTATGCAACCTCTGTCGTCAGACACGGTCCGGATGGAGGGGAATTGCTCTGAAAAATCAGACTTTCCACGCTAACTTATGTTATGACCTCCCTTTTTTGTATAACTGTAATATCAAAATATTCTGAGCAACTTTCAGCTTACAATTGGACTGCCTAGACCGCACAAGGCCTGCCTGCCCTGACAAGCAAGCACTGCACCAGGGTGAAAACTTCCCCTGAAGTCAAGTGACTTGACTACTGACTGATAAATAAAAGCAAAAGGGCTGTTTTTGCAAAGTCTCTCTCACTGCCGGATGGAGGATAACCCACATCTTATCATTCTATCATCTCACCTAGCCTTCTATTCAAGAAGAATTACTCAAACTTCCTATTGTTTGGCCTTTTCTTATCATTCTATCATCTCACCTAGCCTTCTATTCAAGAAGAATTACTCAAACTTCCTATTGTTTGGCCTTTAGATGTGGAAATTCATCCAGGTTGCCTGTTTTTAAACTAATCAAGTTTTCCACCTGCTACACCTTAAAGGAATCCACAAAAATCTTCTGGCTAGTTTTTCAGGATTCTACTATGTAGTCTTTAGATAAGAAAATTCACCTATGTCTCCTATTCAGAGATTTGATTAGCAAGGAATTTCCTCTTCTCTCTCCCAGGATGATTCAGGCAGAAAAACAAAAACCCATTAAGTAGTAGATAAGGTTTAAGGGACTTCTATCTTAGTTGATCTCCACTATAGTAATATTAGTCATAAACTTTGTGCACTTATGTACCTGTTTTTAACCTTGATTGATTTTAGAATGCTATATCTCAGCTAAAGGGCAATACGACCCTAAACTGTTCTTAGAAAAAAAGATGATTGTAATCTCTCAGCCCAGTTCGTGTGTTGATGTCATCTCACTGCTTGCTCGTAATGTATAAAATAAACCTCTGCTGAAGGCAGAGCAGGAAGACTTGCACCCAACTCTGACTCCCGTGTCTTCCTCGTTCTCCTTTCCCCTTTTTTCTCCCTTTCCCCCTTTTTTAGGAATCTCCACACGCCGACGCCTTCCCACCTTAGGGTCCTGCCTGTCTTGCCTCCAGACACCTCAATAGTTGGAGCTGGTCTCCAACAGAAGGCCCCATGCCCGAAACAAAATTCAAACTCCTACGCCAGCTGGTGCCAAGGAGGAAGACAGTGGCCTTCGGGGCCACGACTCCACACAAGCATTATCAGGACTCCTCGGAGACAGCGTGCTGACTGGCCCGCAGTGGGGAAACCTCTCGTCTTAGGAAGAGAACGAGAAGGGCTTACAAGGTGAGTCAGAGGAGGATGATCCAAGCCGGACTGGAAAAGCATCCGAGCAGCAGAAAGTGCTCAGGGCTCACCAGGCCCTGCGAGCTTTCTCAGATGTCATGGAAAGAAGGGAAAATGCCTTCAGGCCATGAAAAAGTAATGAGGCCATTGGAGTGCACACTATTTCCAGGAAAAAAGAAATAGGATATAATTTCTTCTTTTTCTTTTGTAAATGTAGCAGGCTGATGGTTTTATTTTTCCTTTAGACACAGCCGGACCCTTCCCTGGGGCTCCACGTCCACACCTCCTGCACACCCACTGTCCCTGAGACGGTAGAGGTATGTGCCAAGGAGGTCAAGGGCCCGGCGGGCACCTACCTGTCTTTTGGAACAGAGGCCTCCAGCCTCCCTCCCTGTTCGCCCCCTCTCCGGGCTCCTCTGGCTGGAACTCATGGCCACAGCGGAGACACTGTAGTCGGCCCCCCAGTGGGTCTTCTGCTCCCGCCAGCTGGTGCTGAGCTGCGATGGCTGCCGGGGTCAACACAGCAAGCAGCTCCTAAAGAGGACAGGCCGGATGCAGCTGTGGGCAGGGCGACCCCAGCCCTCAGCATCCCCTCCCGCCCCCAGACCTCTGGGCCCGTCACCTGGACAGCCGCTTGTGCGTCTGGCTCCAGCACCACATAGCGACGCAAATGGCGGTCGGGGCAGATGTAGGAGAAGCGCAGAACCAGGATGGGGACCTGGGGGGGTGGATCTGAGCCCTGAGCAGGAAGAGGGGATCCAGGTGAAAAAGGCAGGGGGTAGCCAGAGGGACTGGGAATTACAGAGAACACAGGGAAAAACAGTAGCCCTAGACTCACAGAAGTGCTTCTGCTGGCATCCAAGTCTAGCCTGAATCTCTACTCCTCGGCACAGCCCCCCAAGTCTCCCGGGGTCAAGCCCTTGCACCCCACAGCTCCGCTCCGCAGCACCAAAGGCCAAGAAGTCTGGTGCCCGGCACCTAACCGCTGTGGTGCCAGCGTGGGCCCCCCTGAGAAAACCCAGCGCCTCTTCTAGAAGCCCACTTCCACCACTCACCGCAGGAACTGGCTCTGCCTGGGTCTGGGCCTCCAATTCCATCTCAGCTGCCTCCAGACTCTGCAGTTCAAGCCGCTGCAGGATCCGAGCTGCCTGGAGCTCCACCTCCAACAGGTGCCTGGCAGTGACCCTGAGGAAGCATTCCTTGCACCGGGTGTCCTTGGGCCCCTCCAGGGGACACACCAACATTGGGCGACACAGCTCCGCTGAGGAGAGGCCAAGAGAGGACCCTGTCAGGCGGAAAAGGAACCCGAGGCTCTGCCCGCCCGGGGGTGGCATCCTGCTGCGCCTGCCCCATGGCCAGCGCTCACCTTCCACCTCATTCTGCTCCTCCTCCTCTTCCTCTGCTCCTTCCTCCTCCTTCTGCTGCTCCTCCAGCTCCTCTTCCTCCTGGGGCTCCAGCCTCACCCCAATCTCCTCTGCCCTGTCCTGTGGTGACTTCTCTGGGGGCGCAGGGTCCGGCACTGGCTCTGGGCTCAGGGTGTCGGGTGGCCGCGTGCCGAGGGTAGGGGGTGTGGAGGCAGCCAGAACGGGAGTGTCCAGGGTCTGCAGGTGATTCCTGTACTGCAGCCAGTCACGGCCAAACCGTTCCCGGAAGCTGTTCATGAGCTCGAGTTCCCGGTGCTGCTGCATAAAGCACCCTGGGCAAGTGGGGGACACAAGGATTATCAGGCCTGCACCCCAACACACCCCTGGCAACCCCAGCCTCTCCTGTGAGGGCTCCTCAGGTGAAGTAAAGGGTGCAGAACTGCTCCCCTGGCAGCCTGTCCCACGTGCGTACACGGAACTCTGGACCAGACGCACATGGCGCAGGCTGCTTGGGAGAGCAGCCACCCGCGCCCGCACGCTCCCTCCTGGGGTGTCGTGCAGGGAGGACACTGGCGTGACTGTTCATCCCAGCACTTCCAGGGCCCTGGTCACAGAGCCCTTTCATGACATGGCCTCCTGACAACCCCCAAAATGAGCGTTCCTTGTAAACACTTTGGAAAACGCTGTCCAGGAGCAGTGTCCTCTGCTTGCCCCAAACTAAAAGGCAGGAGGAGTGAGAAAGAGGCTCTCGCCACGTCTGGGGGGTCCCCTGGAGCAGAACCCTGCCTGGCACCACACCCCCACCGTGCATTTTATTAGAGGGGGAGTTGCGCTGGAGAGAGGGGTGAGGCTGCCTTACCAGCTGGAGAAGGGTCCATCGTGCGCGGCTCTGGGTCCGTGTCACTGGGTTCCGAGATACTTGCCCGCCTCACGCGGACTCGGCTCTGAGGGTGGGCAGAGGGACAAAGGTCTCTGAGGTCAGGGCCTCCTGCTCGCCAACAGGGAAAGGCCTTACTAGTTCCAGCTCAGCTACAGCCTAGAGCTCCCCTCCCAGGACTCTACTCACCTTAACCTTCCGAAGAGGGGGCTGGGGCACTACACCCCCAGAGGAGAGGCTGTCGCTCAGGTCAGGGCCCCCTGAGGTTTCGGTGGCAGGTCCCACTGGCCGGGGCAGAGAGGGGGCTGCAGAGTCCAGCTCCGAGGATGTGGAGGCCTGGCGTGGGACAAGGAGGAGAGACAGGCAGGAGCCAGGCGGCAAGGCCACCTGGCCGAGGGGAGCCTCCTGGGGAAGGGACCCGGAAGTTTCCTGCCCGAAAGCCCCTCAAGAGCACCCCTACCTGGCCTCCCTGTCCCACTGCCCAAAGCCCCCACCACACTCACCTGAAGATCGGTAACTGACAAGACCTTCCCATCAAGAAGGAACTGAGCAAAGATAAAAGGGAAGGGGGCAGCATTGGTGGTGGGGTGCACACTCACCCCAAGGAGCTCCAAGCCGGGAGTGGGCTGGGGGACTCCAGGGGGGCCAGGGCCTGGGGGCGGGGTGGGACGGGCAGGAGGATGCAGGCGTGAGGAGGGACGGGAAAGCGGATGCACACAGGAAGGTCACTCACGCCTGGCGCTGCGTCCCTGGCACGGGGTGACAAGTACTGGGCGGTGGCTGCTCGGTGTGTGGGGTGGAACCACAAAGGGTTGCCCTCCAGGTAGAGCTGAGGGGCCGGACGAGGAGATGGGAGGTGGGCGTCAGGCCTCCAGAGCGAGGACCTCCGGCCTCCAGAGCAAGGACAGGCTCTGAGGAGGGAGAACGGAAAGGACAGGGGCGCAAAGAAGGACCCCCGGACCCGAGAAGCGCCACCTCACCTTCTGGAGCTCCGTCAGCAGCCTCAGCGGAGACAGCTCCCTGTGCCCCTCCAGCAGGTTGTAGGCCACATCCAGGTGCTGCAGCTTCCGCAGCTGCTCCAGGCCTGGGACAGGGAAGGGGTGCAGATGGGGGGCGGGCAGTTGGGGACAGGCGCTGCAGAAAGCCAAGCCCCAGACCTGTCCTAAGACCACCTGGAGGCTTCGGAGGCACAGGGTTCCCGGGCCCCCGAGTTTCTCGCTTCCTCCACTCCCCTCCGTGCTTCACCCTCCCCTACTCCCTGGCGAGTGCAGGAACCCTCACTCACCGTGCAGGTTCTGGAGCTCATTGCCTCGCAGTATCAGGGTCCCCAAAGCAGCCCCTGAGGGGCCCATTCTTGGCACAAAACGCAGGTGGTTATAGGAGGCGTCCAGATGGTAGAGCTCAGACAAGTCCTATGGAGGTGAGGGTGACAAAGAGGCCCGCTGTGACCAAACTCAAGCCAGGCTCCTCTGAGCACCCTTTTTAAAAAACATTTATATATTGTGCATACAGAACTGGGGTACAGGCCAGAAATGCAGGGGTGGTGAGAGGCTTCACCAGAGACGGAGTGGGGAGCAGGACAGGCCGACTGACGAAGCACACTGCTGAGGGGAGCAGCGGGCGGGTCAGGAGAGGTCTGCCGCGCCATGTGGGTCACCTCCGGGGCCAGGGCTCGAACTCGCACTGAAGCGGCTACAGCTGGCTTACAGTGCTGTGTGCTATCTCATTGCACCACAGGGAGGGCCCTGAGCACGCTTCTTAATCAGGCCACGGTCTGGGCCGACAGGACTGCCGTCAGCACAAATGACCTTATTATTGACTAGAATAATTTTACTACTGATAAAATGTCACAATGGTTTCGTGCCATAAACCATTCTTATTGCAAAAGACCTATTCTTACCACTTTAACTAGTGTCCAGCTTTGCTTCTCCTTGATGGGAGCAGAGAGACATGGGCAGGGAGAAGGGTCCTTTTCTGAGCTGGGCACTGGGCTAAGCAGGCTCAGTTTCAATGCTACAGAAGTAGGAACCCCACCTCACAGAGAAGCAGGGAGGTGGGCTGATTTGCCCCAAGTAACAGAGGGATGAGGAGTTGAAATGTGAACCCTGGTTTGTTTTATGCTAGAGCCTGCGCCCCCTACGAGTACTGACTCCCAGGGTATGTGACTCCATCCCGCAGCAAGGGCAGGTAGGAGCAGCCCAGATCCAGAAGCGAGGGTCAGAGCAGGACGGTCAGAGGCCCAGGCGCCGGGCCCCAGCCAGGCTACACAAACGCACCATCAGGAAGTCCTCGCAGTCCTGCACTTGATTGTGGCTCAGGTTCAAGAAGCGAAGGGCTGACAAGAGACCCTGGGGGCAAGGGAGGTGAGAATCAGACACCCCCATGAAGCCAGCTGGCCCCCAGCCCTAAGCTCCCATCCCTGTCCGCCCAAACCCCTTCCCACTGAGGCCCTCACCAAGGAGCTGTCTAAGGCAGTGAGTGTGTTGTAGCTGAAGTCAGCCGTAAGGAGAGCCAGCCAGGGCAGGGCGGAGCACAGGTCACCACCACAGGCTGAGAGGAGCTCCTGAGCAGGCGACAGGTGTTCCGTCACCCCCACGGCCCCCTCCCCCCACGCCAAGGCCACCACACTCTGTCACCCAGCCGTTCATCCATTCTCTGCGTACTGAGTCCACTCTGACAGTGGACTTAAGCAAGGCCAGGGCCTGTGCCCTAAGAGTTAGTTCACAGTGGGGAGACACTAGAAGACTGTAGATTGTTGACTACAGACACTGGTGTGGCTGCAAGTGTGTGATGCGGACAGGTTCTGACTGCTGCGGGATCACAGCAGGACCTGAGGACACTGGTAGCAGGCGGCACCCAACAGGCACACATCAGAGCGCGCTCCAGTGTTTCTCAGGACACGGCATCAAGGCCCACCCCTCACCCTCCTTACTGATAACGCTTGGATGCTCCTGCTGCAAATCAAGGTCTCCAGCTGGGAGTAGATGCCACGGAGGCCACGAAGGCAGTGGAGGGGAACACCTCGGAGCTGGGGCAACGGAAGGGAGGAAGGAAGTCGGACGAAACCTCAGAGGTCTCATTCCCTCTTCCCCTGACAGGGAGAAGGGAAAAGATAACAAAGCCAGTATGGTTCAGGTTACATGGAAGAGGGTGAAAGTCTCATTACCACAGGGCATGAGCACATGCAGGCCTGCCCCACCCCCCACAGACCCCCACAAAGGCCATCTCCTTCCCCATCCCCAAATGGCTGCTTCAAACTGGGTTTTGGGCAACAAGATCCCTCAATACCCTATACCTCCAGTTTGCGAAGGGACTTGAAAGGAAAAATCTTGATGGGTGCTGGGAGGCCGGGCCCAGGGACATGGACCAGCTAAAGGAAAAACCACTCAGGTTACCAAAGCCAGACACATCTCCCTTCCCTAAACATCTCAGTATGGCCACCAGTGACTCCCGGCTTCTGCATCTGGGCCCTGCAGGCTTCCTGCATCCGTGGCCCGCCCCCAGCCCCAACTTCCACTACTCTCTTAGGCTCTTTGTACATCCTGCCCCATTCCCAGTCCACAACCTTGAGAGAAAGTGTTTTCTGCAGGACATCGAAGAGGAACTGAAGCTGGAGGATGACGGGGGAGTCGGCGGGGTGGGAGGGCAGAGCCACAAAGCCCGCCTGGCCAGGGCTCCATGGCCCTAGGTGCAGCTCAAATACACGGTTCAGCTGCTGCAGGGTGGCAGTCAGCAGGCTCAGGGTGCTACAGCCAGACAGGACGACGTCTCCTGCAGTGACAGGGGCACATGGGAAGAGGGCAAGTGGAAAGGGTCTTTCCTTCATTCTAGGCCTTTGTGACCCCAGGATCTACCCACTCCAACACATACTGCAGATCTCCCACTGCAAGATCAAACTTTGAACCTCCTGCCAGCTCAAAGGTTTTCAACACCTCCCTCTATCTTCAAGAAAAAATACTGATATGAGATTACTTCAATATACGATCCCAAACTGCTTTTCCAAATTTTCTTCTACCTTCAGCTCAGAGAGCCTGGATTGCTTAGTGCCAGCAATGTCCATATGTGGTTCACAGTTCCCTTGTTTTCGGATACCTGTCCTTCCTCTCTGTTCAACTGGAGATCTGCCTCCAGGAAGCTCTCTCCATATGCAACAACACTGAACCATTACACTACAAACACTCCTTTTACATGAAAATCGATTGGTATTTTCTCTTTATTCTTCTGATTGCAAAAGTAATTCAAGTAATATACACATTTACAGAAACTCCCAAGGCATCTTTTAGCCACCTTAGTATTCATCGCTACACCTAAAATAAGTTTGGCTACAAGGTAGACATGGAGGAATTTTCTAAAACCTTTAAAAAGAAAAAGGAGAGGCATAGGCTGTCACAGAAACTGAACACAAATACCTTATGTCCTTCACCCCAATGGTGACATCTTATGTAAATATGACATGGGTATATGAATGCATAATTCTATGCCATTTTGTCATAGCTAACTACCACAGCAAATCAAGATACAAATCAATTTCATCACCATCACCACAAAAAAAATCTCTTTCTGGCTACCTCTATCATCCCTGACCTCTGGAGCCATGTCAGACTTTTTGCAGAATAAATGAACAAACTTTACATGAAAGATTTTCAAAGTACTAGACATTGAGAATAAACACAGATATGGTTCAAGGACTCTTCACACCCTCAAAGAGCCTCCCAGTCTAGAAGAGAAACTAAGACAAGTGAACAGACAATAATGTAACCCAAAAAAGTAAAACTGCTAAAGAAATTCCACAAATCTTATCAATGAACATGCAGCTAACATTAGCTGGGTAAGAAGAGCCAGACAAGTTGGTTGTCTCATTTAAGTCAAATCAGAATCTCCTAAACAGAAGTCCTCTTTAAAAATACGGAAATCGGGGCTCAGAGAAGTGAAGAATCCTGGGTGCAATTATATAACTTACAGCAGCAAGTTGCTACTTCTGTATGATCACAAAGCCAAAGCTTGTTCTGGCACAACTAAAGCCAACCACACATTCATTCAGGTACTACTTTGGTTCCACTGTGCCCTGGTGTGAAAGCCATTCATTCAGGAACTACTGTGGTTCCACTGTGCCCTGGGGTTTCCACTGAGGGAAAAATTATAATAGCTACCAATTTTGAGCACTACTACATATGCAAACACTGTACTAAATGCTTTCTGTGATTTAAAATTAATCACCACAACTTTTTAATGAATGCAATCATTATGTCTATTTGCTGCTCAGGGAAAACTGAGGCTCAGAAAATGTAAACAACTTCAAATTTGAAAGCGAACTGGGATTCCAGCCCAGGTGGGTCTGATTCCAAATCTCGTGCTTTTACCTAGACGAAGTACATTGTCACACAACCACTTTTAGGACTAGTCCCTGACTCCAAGGGACTTAGCGCCGAACAGCGATCACCTAGAATATCAGAGAACATGGAGGAAGTAGCACTCGAGTCTGGATTCCAATGATAGGTTTAGACTGTCAAAGACAAGACACTGCTGGCCACATCATTATAGCAAACCAACTCCAAAGAAATTAATTTGACGCCTCAAGATTAATTCTGACCCTCAGGAGCTGTTACTCTGTGACGCTTAAGGGGGCGTGTCTCTGCAAGGTAGGGAGCAACACCTCCCGGCCCCAGCCTACTCACCCGACTCCCGCAGCAACCCCGCGAGCTTCCACACCAGGGAGTCCCACGCGGCGGTCGTCATGGCCACGGGACGCTGAGGGCGGAGCCTACACAAAGAGGAAGCGGAAGAGCCTCAGGTGGGAGGTGGCGCCAAGAGCCCAGGAAGGACCTCCGCACAAACCGAAGCTAAACGAGGAGAAAAAGGCAAGAAAGAGAACAAGGAAGGGCGTCCTTCCGGTGACCATTCTAGAAGCTTAAGGCCGGTTAAGCCAGACTGACCCTCCTGTGGTGTTCTCCAACCAGCTCTGCAGCCCGGCACCTATCAATAAGGGAGAGGAAGTCCCGCCCCGGAAGGAAGGAGAGCTGGCGGGACGACCGGAAAGCACGCCTGCGCTGGCGGAACCACGCCCTACGCTATGCAAACGTGTCTCTGGGGGCGTGTCCCACTGGTTGGGGCGGGGCGTCCCGGGCTGGGCGAGAGGCTGGCGAGCGGAGCCGGCCCCACGCTGGGCCCCCTAAGCGCCCCCGCTATCTCCGCCCCGCCCGGGGCCCCTTGCAGTATGAGACGCCCGTTGGGCGCGCTCCCGGGCCTGAGGAAAACCTGACTTGCTGTTTGCAAACTTGGCGGGGAAGCAGAGTTTGGAGAAATGGAATTTCTGTTAGGAAAGACTCTTCGCCAGCGAACACTCGCTGTGCAGCTAAAGGAGAGCAGTTCTTTAAAATCTTTGAAAGAGCTGGGGCTGGCAGAGGTGCCATTTCTGGGGTGCCTTGGGCCCCTTTTCCTTAGTCTCCATGCAAGCTCGCTTTCTTTCCGCAGTAGTAGACTCACATTAGTGGGCGGTGATGCTGCATGTACACCTAGTCCTTTTAATCTTAGGTTCTGTCTCGTCACACCGGAATCTAATAGCTATTACCCCGGGGTTTGAACGTGAGAAAACAGGTTCACAGCGGCTAGGTTCTTGCGAAGGTCATTCAATTAGTAACTATGGTGCCAAGATCGCCAAAATTTCTTGGTCCTAAGTTCCCATTGTAGCGTTCCCTTAGCTCCAAGTCAAGTACTGACATCAAGTACCGAGCTAGATTAAGTAAAGAAAAAACGTCTTTGAGCAGAATCTCTGGTTTTCAGAGAGGGCTAGTTTATTGTATAAAGTACCCTTTCAAATTGTTTTCAAAATGCATGGTAAGCCAGTTGAAATAGAAATAGGGTTATATAATTTATCACACATCACAAAATTTGAAGGCTCTTGTTTTCTAGAACCATATTATTTGAAATGGCAAGTTATGCCCCTAAACCACACAATTCAGCATTTTTTGGTACACTATATGTGATCTCAGCCAAAAACCTAACAGGCAGTTAAAATCAGTGGAAGCACATCATTAAGGGCAAAAGCAATATACAAATATAATGTAGAAGTACGGCTGCAATATATTTTTGTTGAATTATTAATCCCATAACCGTGATGACTGTCAGTTACCTGGAACTAGGAAAGGAGGATTCTCACATTCTGTCATACTAACACCAACCCTCTTGGCAAGAAGTGACAGCTTCTTTTGAAATTTTGGACACTGCAGTGCTTTGAGGTTTGTTTCAGGGGTGCCTGGACAGCCCAGTTTTTCTGAGAATTCATCCACTCTCAAGGGTAGCCCCTGTAGTCAGATTTGTCATATGCTCCCTTGTTTCCCAGAAATGTGAAAGTGGGACAAAGAACAGCAGAGATCAGCCACAGAGGGAGAGAGAAACAGACACCCAGAGAAGCAACAGCAGAGTAAGCAGTTCTTTTTTCCAGCTCCCTTGTGAGGGCCACTCCCCTTTCTGCCCTTGGTCTGCAGGAGAGGCCTTGGCCACCTTCCAAAGAATTCTCCCCAGGGCTTTTTATCCTTGCCTAAGTTAGTTTGAGTATATTTCTTACAACTCTGTACCATGAGAATCTTACCGAAAACAAACCCTTTTTTTTTTAAATAAAAATCTGTAAAGGAAAATTATCCCATTCACCATTACAGAAAAAAAGGAATGTGTAACTAGACTATTCTGAGAAATATTCCAGATCTGTATGGAAAAAAGAAAACCCAACTTTAAGGACATTAAAAATAATCTAAGTAAATGAAAAGTGATCATGTTCCTAATGAGAAGATTAATTGTCAATTTAAGGCAATTTCCATCAAAACTCCAGTGGAAAGGTTTTGGAACTTGACAAGTTGATTAAAATTCCTCTGGAAGACTAAACACATGAGCTCAACCAAGAATTTTTGAGGAAAAAAAAAAATAGAGGCACAAACAGGAGTCTTGCCCTCCCAGACAGCAAAATGTTCTATAAAGGGACAGAGGCCAAAGCAGCATGATACAGAAACAGACAAATATTGATAACACAATGAAACACAACAAAAATAATTATGAAGCACAAGTTCATTTTTTTTTAAAGATTGGTTTATTTATGCATACAGAACTGGGGTACAGGTCAGAGGTGCAGGGGCAGTAAGAGGATTCACCAGAGACAGAGTGGGTCTGTCACACCACGTGGGTCACCTCCTGGGCAGAGGATCAAACTCCCACTTCAGCGGCTACAGCCAACTTGCAGTGCTTCTGTTACAGGGTAGCCCAGAGTGGACTGGGCCGCCTGTCAGTGGGGCCTCACCCGCACGCTCACAATTCAGTTATACTGCAGGTACACACAAAAGGGTCAATAACGAGTTTATTTACAAAAGGGGAAAGGAGTAGGAAACAACCCAGGAAAAGAGAACGGGATACAAAGTAAATGGAATACCTTACATCTAAGCTGACTGAACACATCGAATCACGCAGTCTGGAGAGCCATTTCCAAGCGAGAGAGTGAGAGATGCAATCACACCCTATTTATCCCCCAAATTTCCCAGAAATCCTGCTAGCTCCGCCCTAGGGTCCTCGCAGTTCTCTCCCTGGTACTGCTGGGAGTTGTAGTGTGTAGGATCCAGAAAGCTGGAGTAGGGGGTGGAGTCCATAAGACTCTGCAGAATTCCTTTAGGACATCCTTCCCCTTAACACTACGTCCTAACCAGCTCGCCAACAGGGAGAGCCACAAATTTGTTTTTTACTACATCTGATGAAGTGGACTTTTTTAGTCCTTTATTTTAAAGATTGATTGATTGATGCATACAAGAACTTGGGTATAGGCCAGTGGTGCAGGAGGTGAGAGGATTCACCAGAGACAGAGTGGAGAGCAGAACAAGCAGATTGACTGAAATACACTGCTGAGGGGAGCAGCGGGGGGACAGGAGAGGTTGCTGTGCCATGTGGGTCACTCCCTGGCCGGGGATCAAACTCACAGTGCAGTAGCTTCAGATAGCTTCACAGTGCTGCACTTTAACCCTTTATGCCACCAGGGAGGGCCCAAGATGAATCTGACTTTAAATTAATGGTATAAACAGTGAATTGTTTTGGGGCAACCAGTTGTCTATCTTGGAAAAGCTAAGTTCCTTCCCTCACACCACCCACATTAAGTTCCAGAATTAAAGAGTTAAACATTTTTTCAATAATAAAATCCAAGCACTTTTAAAAGTTGAAATAAAACATCACTTCTTAAAGAATTATTATCTTTATTAAGAAGGCATGTAATGGTGTTTCCGAAAAAATTCGGAAGTAGTATGTATGGTATCTGTTGCATAATTTTATATGCCCACTAGTGAAATTGTGTTTCTCAAAGAGATGCTACGATGCTTAACTTGGAACACTCTTCTGTGTTTTATTCCGACATTCCATCTAAAAACAGAACTGTGTAGCTGCAGCTTCCAAGCACAGGACTTGGAGGAGCTCGCATAGAGACACATCCCCACGCTTTTGTGTGAGGAGAGAAGTGAGTTCTAAGCAGGTGCCACCGGTAGCTTCCCTGTCGCCCCTACATTCCCTGAGGTAACATCTGCAAAAGGCTTGTGGCAGAGGGTTAAGGAAAGGTTGCCGGGGAGCAACTGAGGCAGCAGGGGCAGAAAGAAAGAGGGGAAGGGGCATTTTCACACACGAATGATAAAGTCGATAGCAGAGAACTCAGAGCTGAGAGTCTTGGGCCAATGCCTGCTTGTTTCCGATCCCCTGGAGCCTGCAAGCCCCCACACTGTTGCCCACGGGGAACGGGAGTAGCAGTCCATCTTTAGGACAGAGAGTAGCAGTCCACTGTCCTGCATCTACTCCTTTCCACGACGGCACAGCTTCCCATAGCAGAGGGATGATCAAAAACCAAGGAGTCGTCCAACGTGAAAACTCCACACTTGAAATGGGCTTGTGGGTGGGGAGAATGGAGTTGGATCATCTCCTGTTTCACCAACTAGATGTCTTCATGATGTGAGAAAGAAGGCAAATGGAAGAGGTTGAAACCATGACATCTTTCCAGTTTCTTAGATCACTCACGATGTCTTTGAAGTTGTCTGGTTGGTTGGTGGTTTTGTTTTTGTTTTGTTTCATACAGAAATAGGTTTGGGTTTAAATTAAAAAAAAAAAAAAAAGGATGTACGAGAGAAGGGTCTATGGGCAGGCACCCTCGCCCCAGGACTGTGTGGTCAGAGGCAGTTCTTTCTACCTAAGTTACCACACACTGTTCTCTCGGCTCTGCTGCCAGACACAAAGGTTGGCCCAGGAATTGGCACAGTCGCCAGAATGAAGCATCTGGGACAAATCAGGAGTTTTGGCAGGAGACTGTGTTCGACCATGACAAGCAAGTCCTACAGAGTCTGCTTCCAGGAGGGATGGAAACCGGAGGGGACGTGGAAAGGCAGAAGCCAAATCCAGTGTGAGGTCAGAGAAGCTAAGGATGGTGAACAGCAAGTGAAGCAACAAAATAACAATAACAATCCAGTCGGGGCTCGGCTGTACCCCCTCCGCTCAACACTTGACAGTTCTGCACGAAATAAAAAGGGATTTCCTGAGAAGCAGGTTAAGAAGACCTGTAAGAAAGAGGGAGCCCCGTGCTAAATTCAAAACATGGAGCTGAAGACTACATTATCTGTTCCATCTGGTGGGGAAAGGGCTGAACCCTGAAGGGCAAGATGGACGGAAGCTGCCATCAAGAAGGGAGGGAAATAGGCAGAATTCCAGAAAAGACCTATTGGCAAACTCAGATCCATGTGTCATGGGTCCTCATCTCAGTTCTTCCTGCACGAAGCTGGAGAGAGGAGGGGAAGGTTCATGGCAAAGAAGATGCAGCAAATCTTCTCCCTACCACGAGGCTCCATGGGAAGCGGAACCCAGAGAAAACTGAAATCTCCGGGCTGGGAGCAACAGGGCCCAGGGAAAGGCAGGGCTGCCTTGGAAGCTGAGTGTCTGTAGGACCTCAAAGCGAGAGCAGGCTTTCCTTCATTCTTTAACAAAAACTTACTAAATCCTAACTA